AGCAAACACGTTACATCGCGTTTGCCGGGAATATTCATATCGCGCGCCGCGTCTTCTCGATTTCGCGAAATTAGAGCGAATTTTTGCGTCACGCGCATTCAGAGATCGGTTACATAAGTACACCTTCGACATGTTTCAGTAAGCTTCAGAGTTCGCGAGTTTAGAAGTCGAGAAACGCGCTAAGTCACATCTTACAAAAAATATAATCTTACCCTTAACAGAATCCTCTTATGTTATGACCTCAGAAGCATCCTTCTAACAGTACACTGTAAAAACTGATGTGTTAAATTTAACATTTCATGTGTCTCAAATCATCCATTTTCATTTATGTGTAAATTTAACACAAAACAAATGTGATAAAAGTAACACGCATAATATGTGAAAAACTAATACAAAAATTTAACACTTGAATACCGTCAGGAATAATAGTTTGTGTTAAATTGACATATGTATAATGTTAAATTAACTAAAATAAAACGTTAATTTAACATTTGAGAGAAATATTAATCTATGGTTATGATGAAATGAAAATTGACATAATTTATGTTTGACATATTAATATGTCAATTTAACACAACCTGTGATTCCTAATGGTATTCAAGTTTTAAATTCTTGTATTAATTTTTTCCATATTATGCGTGTTATTTTTTAAGACATTTGTTTTGTGTTAAATTTACATATAAATGAGAGTGGATAATTTGGGACACATAAAATGTTAAATTTAAAACGTCAGTTTTTACAGTGTAAGAGAATTTTTCTAACACCAATAAAAAATAGAACACTCCAAAAAATAGAATTCTAGTTGCAAGGTGCTATTACTAAGCAAAGATTTTTAAAGAATATTTCTTTTCTAATAAAGAGGAATAACGCTGTTATGCTTAGGATATTTTTCTTTCGGTTTTAGAAGAATCCTTTTGAGGCCTTTTGAAGTCTTTTGAGGCCATCTACAGGGTCAGTCAATAACTATTGCCACCTTGAATATCTTTGAAGCAAGAAACAAGGATCATCTATCAAGGATTTTCGAAGCTATTCTGCGTAGACAAAAATCTTCTTATGGCGGTTACGCGTTTTCTTTAGAGTCATCTGTGTTTTTTGCTTCGAAAATATTCAAAGTGGCAATAGTTACTGACTAACCCTATATAAAAGAATTCTGTTAAAGATAAGATTGTATTTTTTGTGAGGTGCAATTACGTTTTCGCGTTTAACACGCGATTAATCGAACCGGTTATTAATCTTTGGTATTCTTATTAGCAGACTACTTTGATCTACTAGAAACTAGAAACGAGACGAAACCGTAACCAGATTTGGCGCTGAGACTATACGTTATTGTTTAGCCCGTTTATTCCGCGACAGGTCTCCGCACCGATACAAACTGCGTCGCCGTCGAAAAGACGGCGACCTCTTGTACAGAGAGAGAGAGTAAATTTAACGGGAGAACAGCGCGCGACTGTTTCCGAAAGCGATTAAACTTCATAAGCGCGCCGTTTCTTACGTTTGTCGGGCAGGCGACGAAACCTCGGATTAAATCAAACGAGGTCCCCGGTCGGTCCGTAGAGGAAAATCCAATCTGAGGAGGTAACAGCGGAAAAGCGAGAGACTCCGAGAAAGGTGCGCGCCTCTAAATGGAAAACGAATCACCCGGAAAACTTTCGCGTACGTCGGCCGGCTCGAGCGTGCCGACGCGAGGAAGTTCGTCGTTTGCTCGACGGAGGGGGCTAACGTAATTTATAACGAAGGGGCACATTCGACGAATTTGGCAAACGGCGACGGCAGAGAAGGGAAATTTTTCGGCAACAGGGATCCTCGCGTTCAATGCGACGCACGCACGTGGCGCTTCCTGAAAAGCCGCGAGTAGTCGCGATCGAAACAAGACGACAATGTGTCACGTTCTGTCCTTTTTCGTTGGCTGAGTCGGCAAGAGCTCGCACGAACCCGGGACACAATGTCCGCCATTATGACGCACGAGGAAAACGAATTTGGGAAAGTTTCTATGGTGCGTCAGGTGCTTGACTTCTCGTTGGCTCCGAAATTGCGGAAACGGTTGAATTTGCCCGAGGAGAATTCGCTCGACGATAAACTTCCCCGCGCTCTCTCTATTCCCTATGTCGATTGATCCATGAGAATATTTATAACGGGATCCAAAAATACAAGATCGCAAGAGTATTGTCGTGATATTAACGTGATTTATACGTTCAACACATTCATGGCTATTTTATGGCAGAATTTGCGCGTTAAGCAGAGTGAATGCGACTTGAGGAGCTTTTGTACTCGGGGAGAAAAACGGTTGAATTGACGCGACATATTTGGTTGAGCAAGTTTTAGTGAAGATAAACAGACTTTCTGGTTATTATAGCGAGACATTTTAGTATGCAACCAGAACATTTAGTCGTAATATCAGTCAGCATTTGTGGTCATCACGTATGTAGTGATAACATCCAAGTGTGTCTGGTCGTTACGACTACACGCGAAAAAAGAGCACGGCTAGATTAACGTGACATGTTTAGTTAAACGACTCTGTTGGTTAAATTAAACAGAATTTCAGGCTATTACAATCATGTATTCTGCTGTGTAATGTTGATTACAATGTACTTAGACAATACGAATCACGATCCAAAGATCCCAGATTCGAATACACTAACACCTTAAGAACTCTCAGTTAAAAAGTATAATAAAATTTCTTATTTTCTTATTTTATTATAATTTTATTATTATCAATTCCTATTTTTATTATAATTTTATCATTGTAACTAAACTCTGGTCTGGTTGCTTTAAGTAGAACGCATGCAACCTTTGTCTGATTACCTCGACCGAAATTGGTCGATTGGTTTATTTTCCACCAAACTGGTATCCCGAATTAAAATTGATCGAACTAATTCTTTTTCCTTGTGAGAACTGGAATTTAATCTCCAAGTCATTAGTTTTTTTTCACACAACGGCTTATTTTGAGAAATCGAGATTAATATACTGCAATACTTTGCGCGGCGTCGGGCGAATGTGTAAAAGGGATTACCTCGAAGCGTCAGCCTCGAGATATTGAGTATAAAACAAAATGCCGTCGATCGCTGGAAATTACGGACGCAAATTCATTTATATTCGCGCGGCCGTGCGATAAATTATGTCCGCCATTTCAATTTAACGGGACAATTCAATCGGCGTACATTTTCCGATTGAAAGTTTACAGACGAACGATCCGCTAAGTCGCAATCCGCGGGGCGCCGTGCGGCCGCGACGAGAGAGGCAAAACTGTCGGGGGAAATATTAGCCATAAGGCGCGGCTCCGCGGCATAAAAGAGTCGTTTCTGGAAAAAAAAATGCGTCGCGCAGCTTCGCGTTTTACAACCCTCCTTTCGCGCGCTGCCACATCCACCCTCCACTGAATCCACCCTCCGCTGCTTCTCCACGTGACGTCACGTTGTACCGACATTTCGTAATATCGCGATTTATACGGGACTCGCGCGGGGTGGGACGCAGCTGTCACGATGCGTGCACACACGTACTACTCAAACTCGCGCCCTCAAACTCTAATTAACTCGGATATTGACCGGGCCGGCCATAATGCGCGCCGCTCTCGCGCGCGTTTTGCCTGTCGATCGGTATACGCGTGATTCACGCGAGCCATGAAGAGAGAAAGAAGTCGTATTTGTCGTTCGGATTTCTATCGGCGCTTCTTCGAGAGAATATTTTATGCTAAACGAGACGGATGTAAATAACGCTTTGTGCCGAAAAAGGAAACTGAGCAAATGAAGGAATTTAAATGCGGTAGTCGTTATAAATATATGTATATAGATATCGATAATCGTGGCACATTTTCAAGCGGACGGTCGCACTCATCCCGTTATTTTCATCCATTTTAACAACTGAACGCGATGAGATTTTACCGTACACGTGAGAAATAACTGAACGGAGCTTAAAGTGGTTTTCTAGACAGGAAGAGCTATTTACAGTTACGTTACCGGTTATCGTTGAAGCGTATTGCATTTTACGATCCCCGCAGACGATACTTATACCCGTGAGCACTGTTGCGGCGCGGAACGGTTATGCACCATGCTTTATTAATGCTTAGGAAGAATCAGTGCTTTATGAATTCTAAAGCGCGGAATAATTTGTGTCTTATGAACAATACAACGATGGGCCTTTGTTCTAGCGCCTAACAATGGCGCACTGTAATAGTTCCAACAATTACTTAGTACGCTTATCAATGCTTAGGAAGAAACAAAGAATCAGCGCTTTATGAATTCTAAAGCGCGAAATAATTTATGTCCTGTGAACAGTAAAAACCGCAGATGAGTCTCTCATTTCTCTTCATTTCTCTTCAGATTTTATTTATGTTCGGCGCATTGCGTACCGCATAGTGTGCCGTAACAAGCTTGACAGACACTTGCTGCGCCCGATGCTTAGGAAGACAGATGAAGAACTCCATCCGCCTTCGAGTCTGCGCGTTTTATGGATATTAATATCGAATGTAAAATGAATACCGGATACAAGAAAACGACGATCTTTCCGAAAGCGTTCATTTTGAGAAAAAATACTTCAAAATTTATTTGTCGTATACAAGTTACTTTTAGGGGAGACTTTACGAGATAAGCAATGATTTAAAAAAATCTAAAAAGACAACGCTTATTCCGCTTCGCGCAAAAAATTTCACTTTAGAAAAAGAAAATTGATAGATTTAACTGAAATTATAGTTATATTTTTTGCTCCAACCATTTTTCTAGTAAAATAGTAGTAATAATATGCATATAAGGTTATTATGATTAATTTTATAATAGAATCTAATAAAAAAATAGTTTTCCTAACCACAATTCGCTATAATTTTTAATAATTATTTTTTTCACGTGAATACAAATACCAAAGATTTTTTTCTCAGTGTGCCAAGCGCCGAAACGAGCTCCGGTTTCTTGCTGAGAGCGTTATGATACTGCCGTCTCGTCCGGGAGACCTGGACTCATGTGATATTTAGCTCTCATGTGGGTCACGCGGCCCAGCATAATTGCACTTACCACTCTCCGCGGTGGGGTAAATGTTAAAGGCCGAGTCCTGGAACCAGGACGTGACCGCGACGTACTCCTTGACGAAGGCCGGTATCTCGCACCTGAGCACTCCGGTGTTGCCCGCCAGGACGTAGGCATCTCGCACTTGCACCTCATACTTCTGGCGCACCACTAGAAGAAAAGTTACGGCCGCTTGAGCAGAGAAAAATGGCAGGACGAAGGGGAAAGAGAGCGAACGAAAAAGTTAGAGGAGGAAAGGAACGAGAGAGTGGTGGACCGCCATCGCTCCCTGCGCCACGACAAAGACTCGCGGAACGATAAAAACTGAAAATAAAAAAGGGCGAGAGAAAAGGAAGAAAATGAGGAGAGAGAGAGAGAGAGAGAGAGGCAAGGAATGAGAATCGGAGGTTATATAGCCGTGAAACGGAATGTCGGACTTGCGAGGATAATACCGTCGGAAAAATGGAAAAGAGACCGTCCCGAAAAAGAACTGTTCTTCGACGCGTAGCCTCGCGACTTTTCCGCTTGGTCTCAATCCACGCGCTTTCTTGACGGTTTCGGCGACGCCGAGGTGACACGATCGATCTCTCCCTCTCGGCGGTTGTCCCGGTGAAATTTGCTTTTTATCGCGGCCATCTCCGCACTCTCGACGATCGCGATATACGTTAATCTCTCCGGAAAGAGACGGGAGATGGGGAACGCGAAAGCTCAGTCGAATATGACGGTTTAAGGAGACGGCGGAGACGATATATCGGCGCTGTCCTATAAGCAGCATCGAATCCGAGTGACGAATATTGCTCTCCCAGCGAGCTTGCGGAATCGGGAGACGACCGTTTCTGCTGTCCACGTGATTAATAATACGTGCTGTCCTGCTAAGCAAGCGTATTCTTCGACGAAGACCGAATCGATCTTCTCCTCGCTGAAATAGCATCGTTCAAATGCTACCTGATCGACGGGATTAATCGTGAAAGATCGCAGCACCAGAATACATAACGGGAATATTTAACATTTAGTTTTAACTTCCGTCACCGGGAAAATAATTTCTATAAATTGTTACGACGCGAAAATTAATGTCAAGCAATTAATTGGATTCAACTTTTAACTCTTCGAGCGTACACATCTGGCAGTGAACACGTAGATGCAAATTTTAACCAACGATTTCTGCCGACTTATGAACTCGTCTCTGCGCGATTAGTTTTAATTTTTATCTCTTGAATATAAGAATTGAAGATATGTATCAGAAATTTGATAACGATATAAAAATCGATACGAAAGTAATAAAATAGTGAAAAATCTATTTATATTCGATTGTATGCCGAAAAGATCATTTTTCAAAAGATTAATGGAGTAAATTCGCATCACGAATGCGCTCGAGAGTTTAAATATAAACATTCTCCAATTGTTTTTTAATAGATTTAATATATTTTTCACATTCAATAATTAAATTATGCATCTTTCTTTATAGATATCGCTGAATTGAAAACAATAATTTTCGCAAACAATAATAGACGGTCATAATTATCGTTCAGAGACATGTGATGTAATTCCACGTTGCACTGATCACCGAATGATTATCCAGAATTCGCTCAACGTTCAGTAATTTTCGACATTTTATCGTTAGTTAACGTCCTAAGCCAGCGAGATGCATTAAGATGCACGCCAAAGAGCCATGTTATTAACGTCGTCGTCGCCCCCTTTCCTTCCGCGCGCCGGCTCATTGTTTCCGCGAACGACGGCTTTTCGTCAGGCCGCAATTTCGGTAATTAGCGCACCGTCTTCGTGGTTTTTGCGAGTCTCTTCATGCCTTGCTCCCTTCGTTCCCCTCCGACGATAATCCATCCTCTACAATCCCCGGCCGAGTGGTATCCTTTTCCCGCGTGACGGCGAAACCGGCCGATTCACGAGTCGCTAAATGCGATAAGTGATCTTGGCAGAACTTCGCAGTCGCAAGCCGGAAAGCGAAGAAATCGCGCGGTCGTTTGTCTCGCGCGGAGGGCATACGGGGTGGTCGGGAAACGTCTGTCCGCGTCGATCGACCGATACATTCTTCGTGGAATTACGCGGGAGGACGCGCATGATCTTTCATCCGAGAAATTTGTTCGGAGATATCCCAGCAGCGGATTCCTCCCTACCCCGAAGTTCTCGTTTTGCTACTAGAATGTACGGCGGTCTGTTTCCGCTGCCGTTCGCCCGATAAATTCTGTGGCGAGTAATTAGGAAAAATTACACTCGGAGAGCATCGTGCAATTGTGAAACTTTCCTTTCCTTCTCCTCTTTTGTAGTCGCCGACGTTGCAAGTGTGAATCATTGATTACCATTAAAGGGATGCTGGAGTCGATGACGAACTCGAACAATGTCGATAATGCAGAGACGATCGTCACTAACATAATCACGCTGTCCTTTTCGTATTTCTTGTATGTAGAACTTACATGAATGTGTGTTGCTTTGTTTTATCATGTTCAACAGAAAAGCTAACCATATATGTGTAAAAATTTCTGCAAACTTTTTCGATATTCTTAAGTTTCCAAATGCAGAGGCGAAAGTAGAGCAATGTTCTTCAAAATTTTTCTGTTTGGAGCATCCACACTTTCGGTATGTACAAGCTACGGAACTTTTGGATTAGGTAAATATTACGTTAACTGACAGCTTGAGATTTTACATAAAAAATTTTTTGTTCATTTTCGTCACATATCGAGCAATGCTCCGATTAATTTTTGCATGTACTTTCATTGCGTAAAAGCATTTATAATTCTGTGTAACCAATACGTAAACTTTGCAGAAAAATGTTAGTATTCTGTCGGTAAAGCTTTCAGTTTTAGCATCCCTTTAAGGGATGCTGGAGTCGATGACGAACTCAAACAATATCGATAATGAGACGGTCGTCATTAACATAATCATGCTATCCTTTTCGTATTTCTTATATATACAAAACCTAGATGAATGTGTGTTGTTTTATTTTACCATATTTAACGGAGAACGATATTCTTAAGCTTCCAAATGGAGATGCGAAGGTAGAGCAATATTCTTCAAAATTTTTCTATTTGGAGCATCCATACTTTCGATATGTACAAGCTGCAGAACTTTTGGATTAGGCAAATATTACGTTAACTGATAGCTTGAGATTTTACATAAAAAAATTTTTGCTCGTTTTCGTCACATATCAAACAATGCTCCTATTTATTTTTGCACATACATTCATTGCGTAAAAGCATTTGTAATTCTGTGTGACCAATACGACATAAACTTTGCAGAAAAATGTCAGTGTTCTGTCGGTAAAGTTTTCAGTTTCAGCATCCCTTTAAGGGATGCTGGAGTCGATGACGAACTCGAACAATATCGATAATGAGACGATCGTCACTAACAATCATGCTATTCTTTTCGTATTTCTTGTATATACAAAACTTAGATGAATGTGTGTTGCATATTTAACGGGAAACTTAATCATATATATGTAGAAATCTTTCTGCAAACTTTTTTGATATTCTTAAGCTTCCAAATGGAGATGCGAAGGTAGAGCAATATTCTTCAAAATTTTTCTGTTTGGAGTATCCACACTTTCGGTATGTACAAGCTGCGGAACTTTTGGATTAGGCAAATATTACGTTAACTGACAGTTTGGGATCTAACAAAAAATTTTTTGTTCGTTTTCGTCACATATCAAGTAATGCTCCGATTAATTTTTTCACGTACTTTCATTGCGTAAAAGCATTTGTAATTCTGTGTAACCAATACGTAAACTTTGCAAAAAAATGTTAGTATTCTGTCGGTAAAGTTTTCAACTTCAGCATTCCCTTAAAGGAATACCGAAGTCGATGACGCATTCAAACAATGTCGATAACGCAGAGACGATCGTCACTGACACAATCACGCTATTCTTTTCGAATTTATTGTACATACAGAACTTTCGTAAATGTGTGTTGTTTTGTTTTACTACATTCTAACGGAAAACCTAACCATGCATGTAGAGATCTTTCTCGAAACTTTTCCGATATTCTTAAGCTTCTGAATTCAGATGTGAAGGTACAGCAATATTCTTTAAAATTTTTCTGCTTGAAGCATTCACACTTGCGGTATGTACAAGCTGCGGAACTTTTGGATCAGACAAATATTACGCCAACAGACAACTTGAGATTTTGTATTAAAACATTTGTTTTCATCACATATTGAGCAATGCTTCTATTTATTTTTGCACGTACTTTCATTACGTAAAAGCATTTATAATTCTGTACAACCAATATGACGTAAACTTTGCAGAAAAATGACAGTATTCTGTCGGTAAAGTTTTCAGCTTTAGCATCCCTTTAATGACGGAATATCATACTGATGTGTTGGAAATCAAAATTGAATTAGATACTAAGAGAGGAAAGAATTAACGTGTTTCTGCCTGTGAATGCGAATGTATCATAATTATGACGCGATTGGAATACTTTTTTTATTTATTATTTAATTACTTCGATAAATTTGTTTTCAAACATCTGCTTAATCTTTTGCGCTCCAAGGGTTCCGCAGGGTAAACCGGTTTTAGAAAATCAGTGAGTGGTATATATAGTCAGTTTAGATTTAAATTAAAAATTCTGGAAAATTCCACGAATTTGAGAGAAAAACCTTAGCTAGTGAAAAACAGTGGCATCCACGGAGAGTTAATAATTTAGCTCATCTACTTGTCACTTCGCGTCGCGTAGCCGATCATCCTCTATACGTCATTGTGCATAAATGCATCCTGTACATTTTGGCAGCGCGTGGTGAACTGCGGATCTTGATCTTGGCAGTGAACGCTGGTTGTTAGGTAGAAGCGAGCGCGAGTTTAGGGCCATCCATTTACGACGGCGGCGGCAGATGGGGGAAAAGCGAGTGGAAAAGGGGGACCGCTCGCGATAAATGTAGTTGGCTTGGCTCTGCTCGAGCCCGCGATCATTCTTGCCGCCCTCCCACGTCGACTCGAGGGTTTAAAACGTCATTCCGAGGAACGGTCGATTACATTTACCTCGGCGGAGGCGGGAAACCCAAGAATGACGGGACGACCTGATAATACGAAAGACTGTTGATTTTCCGCCGGCGAATTCCGTCGGGCACTCGAGACGTGCGAAAAACATGCCTATATTTCGACTTCTCAACGAGTTCCCTTACTTTCTCGGCATTACTGTCTCGGCATTGACGTTAAACGTGCCTGATTGTGAGAAACAACCGCGACGAGCTGGTAGATAACGAATTTTTATAGCGGTCGAACATGTCGAGCGACATTTGTCGAACTTAAAATTGTAGAAAAATTTCGCTTAAAAATAAATAATACTATACGTGTGAGTAGAATATCCAACCGAAAATTTTGGCCATAATAAGAAAATTTGTTTAATAAAAGTTAAATATTGGATACGATAATTTAACACTAAAATGCCCAATGGAGTCATTTTGACTCCTTTAAGATCTCGTTATTTCAGTTCCTCGTGGTTTAAAAAAAAAACTTGGATGTTCTAAAGAGAATCATTTTGACTTTTTATCAAGAGACACGATAGTGTCTCGCGCCAAATGTACGCGTTAAGCGAAGCGACGCGAGACCGGCCGTTTACACATCTAGTTGATGGGAGAAAAAATTATCATTTCTGTCATAACGGCTGAACTGACGATGTTCTGGGTGAGTTCAATCGATTCCTTGGGTTTACATTATATAAGAAAACTGTCTTTATTTTTGTCCTACATGTCCTATTTAATTGTCAGTGTTATAAGAACAATATACAAACTATTTGAGATTTCTGTTTCTTAATTCTCATTAAATTTATATTTTATTCTGTGTCCATTCATCAAGTCTTTTTGTACTAATTGCAGGATGTAAGTGAGTAGTAATTTTGATGCATCTTACTGTAGAAAATTATAAATTTTTGAAAAAATTATGAAAATTGTAGTAATTTGTTCACAATATATATTAAAACATCTATATTTTGCAAATTATGTTCAGAAGTCATCATTGATACGAGTAATGAGGAACGGAGAGAATTTTATATATTAAAATCACAAGAAGTCTCAAAATGGAGGTTGTCGTTCCCGAATATTCCCGAATATATGGAGAAGGAAACATTATGATTGACCCACACGTAAATCTGGTTGTGTCAATATTGAATCTGGTCGGTGTTTTACCAGATTTATGCGTGGCCCATCATATCATTTTTCCCGTGTACTAATTAGTTGTTAACCATTACGTTGAACTATAACTTTATATCCCGATATAATTTTATATTAAACATCTTTTACATATGCCCCGAATTGTATTTTCATAAGAAAATAAAAGCTACTTGCGAAACACGCAGCTCAACAAACGTTGAAGGCAACAAACTCCCGTGGATAAGTATATTTATCTCCAGAACGAATTCAAGATTTTTAAATTGCGACGCGAAACTTCGGTGCTTTCGAGAAGTTGGTGACCGTCCACAACTTTTCAGAGAACGCGCGTGTAATTTTAATACCGCTCAGCGTCCCGACGGACACTGATATCCGCTACGTTATTTAACGTGGGCCGCCTTTTTACTGTGACTGTGAAGCAACACGCGCGCGCGACGCGAAGTTTAGTTACCGCGAAAAATCTCTCACGAAGAGCGAAACCTCTTTCTTAACCAGTTCTTCCTGTACAAAGGATTTCATAAAATTCACGTATGTAAGTTTTACTGCTCTTGACATATCTGAAATCACAAAGTTTCTCTTATAAAAATTTAAATCAAGCAGTAATTATCTCCTTAACGTCGACGATAAGTGATTTTTGCTAAATGGATATTAAACAAACAACACATTGTTGATGAACCACGAGAAGAAAATTCGTATTTTATTAGAACGTTATTTCTGCAGGATAGACTACAAGTTATCCCGTGTTTCGTCACAATAGTTTATAAAAACAGGAAATAAAAAGAACACAAAAGACTAGGAACAACGGTATACGATGTTGAAAACAGCGAATCAACAACGTGTTAGTTTATATTGGCTGAAAAAATAACAGGCGTAAAAGCGTTAATTGTTGCTTAAAATACTCAGCCGACGATACATGTGTATGTGCGTGTGTTAGCAGAATGTTTATAAACGTTCGTAACTCAACAGGAAAGCATTCACGAGATAAATCGATTTAACATGAATGAATCGAAATGTTACAATTACACGACGACCGGACTCGGTGACTTTTGACTCGAGTGGAAAGCGACTCGGGGTTGCTTGGGCGGGCACGAGGAGTTCATAAGGTCGCGCTATCATCGTGTCTCGCGCGACAGTGTCCCCGGACTCGTCTTTTTTCCACCTACGGTGCACGTACGTGGTCGTAGGGGGTGAGAGAGCGGGCTTTAAAGGACGGTGAAAGATCAATCGGTCGGAAGAGGGTGGACGGTCGCGAGGGAGTCGGGAAGAGAAATACAGCGTGGCATACGCGCTCTGTCTCTGTCTGACTCACCGGCCTTCACAGCGATTTCACGGCCGAGCACCTTGCCGACGCTGTTCGACGCCTGGCATCGGTAGACGGCCGAGTGCACGTCGTGCCGGTAGCTCTCGGCGCCGAACGGCAGGAAGTACATGGAGCCGTTCACCAGCATCTCACGGATGTGTAGTATCGGTAATACCGGCGAGCCGTCACCCATCAGCCAGTCGATCCTCGGCGATGGACTGCCGTGGGCCGAGCAATGGATCATTGCCCCGGTGTCGTTCGAGAACTCCACGCTAGAGCGCGGTTCCGAGACCAGCACCGGCCCTTGGCTGTCCAGCACCACTCCTCGTCCTGGAAACAGAGAAATGAAGCGAGACGTTAGAGAAGGGATATTCCCTTGCTCTCTTGCACAGACAAGACGCGAGACCTGACGGTGATATAAACAGTGTACGCGCGAGCTGTTGCCACGGAAGCGTCGATCTTAATTTTAACGAACTCCCGGAGTCCTGAATTTTTCACAAATTAAAGTTGAGGGGTAGCTCGCGAGATCGTGAATGATTAAGGTGGCGGACGTTCGTGTTAAAGTACAGTCTGGGGCGCTGGGGAGCAGAGGAAGGGGAGGGAGGAGAGAAGGTCGGGTTGAATAACGAAAAATCTCATTGCGTTTACCGAGATTCTTGAGCTTCCGCTTTCGTTCGCTTCGGAACTTTAATTTGACGTTTAATACACCGGGATATTCCGTGTTGGAGTTGAAAAATTCGCGGGCAGCAATAAACCTGCTTCTCCGCCAGCCGTTTCGATCGCGAAATCTTGAGTATATTCGCGGGGAAATGCGCATCGAGAGATTGCTCGCTGCGAAAATAATTTCGTGCAGTCTTCGGAAACGCGGAGCGGACGAGCCGCGTCGGTTGGATACGATCTCGCATAAATCTCTGCCAATTTTTCCGCGGCTTAGAGAGATGGAAGAAAGAAAGAGATAGGGAGAAACAGAATAGAGTAGAATCGTGTAGAGTAGAGTATATTTTCCCCCTGGGAAAGGGTTTGTGCACTCCTTAGAGTTACATATATGTCATATTAGGTGGATGCCGGAATCAGATTGTACAAAATAACAATATATTGGATCGTAATATATAAGTAATATATAAGTAATATATAAGTAATATATTGAGAGCGAGCGAAAGAAAGAGAAAGAGAGAAAGGGAGAGGGAGAGAGAGGGAGAAAGAGTGAGAGAGAAGAAGAAGAAGGCTTTCACTCCAAAGTCGAGATACGATAGTTTATGCAATATTCAAGGCGTATTCGAGGTAAGAAGTTTGCAAGATAAAATACACAAAGGCACAACGATATCCTACGCCGGATATCGCGATGCGTAGCATTCGGTTATGGCGAGAAATGTGGCGAGACGAGGCTCCGATTTTAAACGACACGCACTTGAAGGAACGATTCCGCTCGAGACAGAGCAATAAGGTCGACCCGATCGGCCGCTGGAATATCGAATCATATACATTCGATAGGACGATCGAAGCGGCTGTCCTTGATGCAAAATGCATTACCGCATGAAGAATGCATAAATGGCGTTGCCTGGCGCGACCATTAAATTCTTATCTTCCAGACGCGAACGTTATATTCCACTTTTCTCTGTATAGGAAGAAATCGAATTATTTTAAATTATTATAAGAATATAAATATATGTGCGCTCCTAAAGACATATAAGGTATATATTGAAGATTAAAGCTAGAGTTAGAAGATGAAAAAATTTGTTTGGAAAAATGACTTTAGTCGAAACTTTACGATGGATCTAGCGAGCAATCGCATTTGCATTAGACGTATCCTGCTTCGGGATCCTTCGTTATATCGGTAAGTAGGAAATAAGAGCTCAAGCTCGGGTTATAAAAGGTATCGACTTGCTCTTACGAGAAAAGAGAAGCGAGATAATGTATCATTTATATATTTAAAAAAATACGATTTTCATGTTATATTAAAGGACATAAGAGTTGCAGTTCGTCGACTTCAAGAAAAAAGAGAGAGAGAGAGATTTTTCTCTCTCTTTCTTTTTTCTCACACTCTCACACACACACACTCTCTCTCTCTCTCGCGAGTATCGAGAATAAAAATGCTATGGAAGAGGGATCTAACGGATTGATCGCTCCAGTTACGGCCACGGATTCGAGCAAGCCGTCTTTTCATCGGCAATAAAACGTATATCCCGTTCAGCGCGCACCACCGTGTCCTTTTTCACTCTTTCACTTCCAGTTTCGGTTTTCTGCCTCTCATATGAGGCGGTATCCGGTGAAAGATAACATAACGAGGTTATTAACTCGGTCGTGACGTAATCCCCTCTGCGATTTCACCGACGAATTCGGACTGGTGTGAATTAGTTAGACGATATTTGAAATATCGATGCGCCGAATAGGAAAAAACGCGTGTGCCGCCGGGAACCGGCGGATTTATTAATCATGAAGATCTCTTCTCGAACATTTTTCACAAATCGCTCAGACAATGATCGTCGTGTTGTCGCTAAATCGAAGAACGTAGAAATGCAGCTTTGTCTATCTGTAAAGTGTCTATCTTTATTTAATCTATAAAATGCTCGCACAATCGATAAACTTCAACTTATTATTATTTCTACACTAAAAATTACGTTTCACACGTAATTTTCCCAAATGTAAACAGGATCACTTATTTTCCTAAAGAGAAAATCGCACAATTTAAAGAATTTCGCAATGAGACTTCGAATCTACGAGAAGTTCGCGTCTCGTCCTTTTGAGCATTTTCGTCGTCGCGACTAATTCCTTCGTCCGTGGCTCATCATAAATGCGAGGATAGGATCCGACGTCGGTATCGTTGCTGCCTTTGCGACGAAATCGTCCTTTCATCGCCGGCAATATGCGCATACACGCCTACACGTGTTCAACGGCGTGCGAGCCATCGCCGTCGTCATCTGCCTCGTTCATCCGCGCGATCGCTGCATTTTCCCAACCCTCCCGCGCGCTTCGGCCTATCTCGCACGCGGTGACATATCCTGCGCCCGACGGGGGAAATCTGATAGTGGATCTCCACCGCAGCTGATGCCAGCACTTCCGCAGCTTTGGCCCCGGAATTCCGGAACCTTGTTTTCTGACGATCGAGGCGAACTTTAGTGCGGGGTTCATGAGCGGAAGAGAACAGGGGGCGAGGCAGGAACCAACGAGATTGTGGCCAGGAAAAGAGAGAGAGAGAGAGAGAGAGAGAGAGAGCACGCAAGATACCTGCAGAAATCGGTGCATTATGCATGAACGGCAGTTTGATAACCTGGACGTCGTTTCGTCCGGAGAAGCAGTGAGAGCGTGGCGCGATACATGGCGCAACATCGCCATACGGATCACACGCATGCACGGGCCACCACCATCACCAGCGACAGCAGCACACGTACACGCGCGCAAAGCGCATACACGCGAGGCAGGACCGACGACGTTTATGCACGGCGTTTCCTGCGTTCTACGGCCCCGATGCACCTGCGCCACCCCGGTTTACAGCTATGCACACCGGCATCGTCTCTATGCCGCGTTTATACACGCGCCATCTCCCATACCCCCGGTATCTCACTCTCCCCCGGCCGCTGTTGCGAGTCTAACCCTGTTTACCACCCTCGGAACGCGGCGACGATATACCGGATCACGCGCTCGTCTCTTCGAAGCGACTTACCCGCTCCGCCGGTGAGTTAACGCGCCAGCATCGCGAACCACCACGGAAAACCGGGTCTTTCGCGGTCGATGCTAAACGAATTTACGCTTCGTTAGCGGGAATACGCGTGCAGATCGCTGTTACGGCGCGTCTCACGCCGCACGGCAACCTGAATCCGCGGAAAACACGCGTTCTCACGCCCCGAGCACACGCGGTTACGGTTTTCCCACGTTGAGGAATTATTCGCGCGAGACGCGAATGCGTGCTGCATTGGGAATCTGCGGCGGGTATACCGGTGCTAAAGCCGAAGGAATCTGCACGACGTTCACTACACATTTTCGCGTTTGCTACTTTGCTCACCGCTCGAAAATACGGAGCCAAACTGCTTCAATTTCCATGCCATCAAAGCAAAATTACATTATTAACTCTTACAGCCCGGGCAGTTTTTAGGTGACTTTTACAGTCTTTGAACTACAACTTTTCCATATACGTCAAAGGATAAACTAATCAAGAACGTGACATCCCCGTCACACCAATATAGTGACTTCCCGGATTATATAGTAACTATTTTTCCAAAATGATTTTTGTTTTCTTATTTAATCATACAGAGACTTTTTTATATTAGAAATTTTTATATTAGAAATCACGAAAAAACTTATTTATTTATGTTTGCATTATTTATTAAAATTTATTATTTATTAAAATTATGCAAAAATATGTAGTATGTCTAGCGGTAAAATAAAGAATTCTCGCACGCGCGCGCGCGTTTGCATGTAGATTAGGTCATCGAATCGTCAGACACTCTGTATATGATAATAAGAACAAAATCATAATATAAAACAAAATGTTATTTGCGTACATTTTTTCAAAATATATTACTGATCAAAACATCAAAAATTTCTACAAATATTTTTATTTTTTGAATTTTTATTAAGAAGTTGTTTAAGATTTTACTTTTAAAAAATTTTTTACTAATTCATGTGCAAAATGTAAATAATAATAAAAAAAATAATAATTATAGTTATATTTCATAAAATTGCTGTGACACCACTATAGTGACTTCCCCGATTATAAAGGTTAACCCTCTGTATACAATTATTAATTTTTTTAAACATGCAGTGCAATCGGGGTCAAATTCGGGTAACTTTGAATTATCTAACTTTGTTGAAAACCAATATTCTTGAACAATTTTTGTCTCATAAATATGGAAAAATCTCAGCTATAGCAGCGCAATAAAGTCCAAATTTACAAATAGATCTGCGCTATTTAAAAATTGTTCCGATCCGTTTATGAAAATTGATCATTGGTCGAATATTTGTTCGGGTCTCACAAAAACTCAACATTGCGCGCGAACCACTACAATGTCATCGTCGGTAATTACCTTATGTGCGTGTGCAGTACTTTCTCGTTAGAGCAATAAAAAGATACGGTTAGCGCTGAAAATGACTGTAACGTGCAGTGAGATTAAGAATTTTTTCCTCTTGTTGCTCTGTAAACAAAATGGAGAAATAAGAGGGAAATAAGAGACCACCGGGAGAAATGTTAACGTTTGCATTTCCCGCGCGAGAGCTCGGAAGGAGACGGCGTACACGAGCACGTAACGTAAGACAGTTCGGAAGAGCACGCTGAGGAAACACAGAATTTCCGCTGTACGAGCGAGCATCAAAGAACTGCCACGTGCACGGACATA